TTTTTTAGAAGATTTTTTTATGAAATGAAACCTGCTGAAACTAACAATTTTCCACTTGAGGGGTTCTGGATGGAGCATATTGACAAATGAAAAACATTTCTTTATCTTATTTGATATTACAATTTTGATATAATTAGAGGTCGATGTGGGTTGCTCTGACAGCTAAAAGCATATTTTACAGTCTCTATACTCCAGTTAACAATTAATTGATTACTAAATTAGTTGATGATTATTTCAATAATCAATTTATCACGAGTAATCGAGATTAATCCTCTTGATTGTTTCAGCCCTATATAAAATCTACTAATAGCAATCACCTTCTTCTCCGGCTTTTCTGGAAGTTGCCAGTTATTTGCTTTTAGTTGGTAGAGCTCGTCAAACTTCATGCTGATGTCTTCTATTGATAGTTGCAGCAGATCCCAGAAGCCTGCAAGGTCCTGTGCTGTTGGTCTTGGGTTGGCATTAACGTTCTAGTAAAAAAAAAAAAACATATCACATTAAAAAACTGTTTTATTACATAAGAAAAGAAAGGAAATTCCACAGCACATGTTTCTTTGTCAACTTGCCCAATAACTGTTGCAGTATCTAAACTTAACAGAAAGCAGGCAAGTTGGGACAAAAGGATTTAGAGGAGAATATAATCAGTTGATATCACAGGGTGTAAGAAGCAACTTTTTCCTAAAACTTTATCCAACGTCTTTCAATAACAGCAGCAAATTTCCACAATAGATTTACATCGCAGTGCCAAGAAGAGCCATCTTATAAAATAATCTGGTCAAGTGAAAGACGTCCTTCTTATTGTAGGACTGCACAATTCAGACATTGGGCATGACATTTATCCACTACTGGAGGATGAAAAAGACGACAAGCTTTGCTTTGGTACTCCAGAAAAGAAGATGAAAGACAAAACTCTGATCTTTCTTCATCTTTTCTGCACCCACAGCCATAGATGGACCAAGCTCCAGCAAAAGTGGCCTTTTGCAATGGGAAAGCATGGATCCGGACTACAGCAACACAATAGTCAGCCTGAGCCTAACATTCTAGTCCCAAATTTGAGAACTTGTCCACTGTATTTAACACATCCTGCAGGGAGCAGTGTGCCTCCACAATAAGTAGCTATTGCCTTTCTCTCAAACCAGAAGCCCGATAAAATTTGTCTCTCTTTGCCAACTCCCTATCTGCTGCTAATCTGGCTTTAGCAGCAATTCCGTTTTTTTTATTTTTATTTTAATCAACAAGTATACTCTCTTCCTGCAGTGATTTGCAGAGAGTTAAGCATTTAAGAAAGGTACCAACATGCCTGGATATATCAGCAAAACAATGCTGGTAAGAACCAGAAGAGAAACTACTTTAAAGAAAAAATATGCATTAGCCCTTATGAAAAGGGTAGCATCAATGTGCAGAAATACTTTAACGTCCCTGAATTACTGAGGGATGTAAAGTAGCTACTCACCAGATTCTCCTTACAGAGGCCTCTAAACTGCTCAAACTTCTGTGAAATGAGGAGCTGAGCACTTCCCACTGCACTACGGATGGTCCCCAACACTGAAAAGACAAAGAAGTGACAAGTTCGAGATGTTTAACAATTCACAATTTTCTCTTTTGTCACACTAAAAGTTTGTATTCATTTATTTTTTTACAAAACATCCATTAACATTTTATTCCAACCACTTGCCTATAAGTGGAAACTCATTACCGGAGAAGTCTGGGCAGCAAGAGTGTTTATCTGAAAGATTCTTTACTGCCTGATGTCTTCACTCATCTATTGTTCAGTCTGCTAAGATTGGCTTGCCTAAGAGTCTGGTGCATATTGTAAAAGATGAAAATGTCTGATGACGGTGGTGGAGTTAAAACAGCTAAAACAGACCTTACAACCACTTTAATGATTTACAGTAGTTGATTCAGTAGATTCAGTAAATGGTGTATTGCTTTAACTCTTCAACCACAAACACCAGGGATGAGTTATTATTCCCCTTTAAAAGGCTTGAGATTTCTATTACCAGGTAACAGGAATTCCAAGTAATTCATCAGCATACTTTCCCAATACTCTGGAGGCCCTATGATGATCAACCTGGGATAAAGTGCACTACACCTTTAGGCCAGAAGAGGGCATCAGCTAAAAAGGTTGACATTACATTTTTGTTCTTTTTAATCAACCTGCATCTGTCCAGAGTTGCATTTTAACTGCATGATTCATTTAAAATAACCACTAAAAACACTGATATACTATTTTGTTATTATAATCAAGTAAATCTCAGATATCTTCAGCACAAACAGAACATGTTTGTAGTTTAAGGCTATTTATTAAAGCCCATGTTGATGTAATCAATTATCTGTATAAAGTAGAAGCTCTAGACCAGGCATTCCCCAAACTCGGTCCACAAGGGCCCCTCTCCTGCAGGTTTTAGAGGTTTCCTTGCTCCAGCACAGCTGATTTTAATTGAAAGCTGATTAACAGGCTTTTGGTCTACTGCAATCATTATAACCAGCTGTGCTGAAGCAGAGAAACCTCTAAAACTTGCAGGACAGGGGGCCTTGAGGACTGAGTTTGGGGATGCCTGCTCTAGACCATGGAAGAACCCAGAAAATCTTCCTTGCAGCCCCACAGTTGCAATGCCAAGCAACAAAAAAAATAAATAAATAAAATCAGATCCGGCATAGGTTGTACATTAACCACCAGTACGGCCCCTGCTGTACTGTACATCAAGTCCAAAAAAAAAGCATGTGTTTATTGCAGATGGGATGGCTCATCGTTAGTTTGCCTTCACACTCCCATATTCAGTTTGGGAGCAAACCAATAAGCTTTGTGTGGAGGCCATGCTTACATCATTACGTGACTTACTTCCCACTTTACACTAGTGCTACATTAACTCCTTATCAAATGAGTCCTATGAGCATACAGAGCCAACCACAAGCATTTCCTTTAGTACATTTCTGACTTTTATATTGATCCAAATGCAAGTTAACTTCTCTACTTTAGGTCAAAGCTGGAAACCCACTTACTGGCCTGCCTTCTATCTATGGCAGTCTAGACAGCATCTTTACAGTCGATATGTAGTTTTATATTCATTCCTTTATTTTCTCATCATTAGCCGAGATCTTTATATTTTTATTATCTTATATAGTTCATTTCTATCCATGATGTTGAGACATCATGACGGACAAGTCATGCTAAGCTATAAATGCACATATGCAAATGTTCTGGTTCTGCAGTCAACTCATGGATACAAGTGCCTCAGTTGTTGCTGCTGCACCAGGTAAAGAGCAGGTGTGCTTTAGAAAACACACAAAGGCTTTCTGTTTTTCTTTGTTGCTATTACTTCTGTAGGTAACTTTTTGCACTCCTACATACCTGACAGGTTCTGCTTTTTGCAACCTTACCCAGAAATTTTCCCCATTCTTATTGATTTATCTCAGCCAAGCCCAGCTCCATTTATTCTTAACGCCACCATCAACCGTAAATCCAACCCTTCTTGAAGAAAAAGCATTAATGCTAAATTAGCCTGAGCTAGAGCGTTACTCTTCTTTGTGTTCTTAATACTTCTTGATGACAAATCACAAGGAGATTCCTGGTTGGTCACACCCATTGTTGCAGTGATAGAACATTTAAATCCATGTGAATATTCCAATAAATATTAACACTGATACTGCTAAGAAGATGTATTTACTCAATTTATGATTCCATTTGTAATGGATTTGTTCTAATCAAAACAAACGCTCCAGAACTAAAAACAAGCATAATATTTTTGATACCGACTTACCCTCCTCTGAGAGCTTGTTGTCTTTGGTCTCCTGCTCCATCTGCTGACACCAGCCCTCCATGCGGCCTGTTTCTGCCTGCAGCAGCTTCAGAAACCAGTTTCCATCTCTGAGGCATGCTGGAGTACCTGGGTGCACCGCATCTCCCGAAGAGGTGCAGTTTCCAGATTCGAGGCTGGGATCCGGAGGAGGCAGAGAAGAGGGGTCTAAAGCTGGGTCCAGAGTCTCAGGAGGTGAGTTTGATATCCTTGATGGAGTTAAGTGTTTAAGATGATGCTGTTCCATGGCTTTGTCCTGTCCATTAGTTGTGGTGCTGTTTAGTGTCTGGCTGTTGGTGCAATTGGTAGTAGCATTTTCTGTGGGTGCAGCATCCTGTAGCTGAGGCTCAGTCTCTGTATTTTGTCTGGAAGCCATGCTGCTATCCCGGCTGAGACTGCAGAGATAAGATGAAACATCAGCTTCTGACCTACTGAGAGAAGATATTTGGACTATGATTCAAACTCTTCTATAGTACAACTTTGAGGACAATAGAATTATAATCCAAGGTAATGAGGCATTGAGAGTTCCCAGAAGACATGACATTGTTAACATGCAAAAGAAAAACAGGAATGTTTACAACAGAGAATAAATGCTTCATAAACTATTGGGCTCCAATAAAAAAAAAGGAGAAAAAGCAGCAGTCAGGAAAATAGATAGGACTACACAGTAATCCTCCTGCACAGAACATATTTGAATGGGCAGCTCCATGCAAGGGTTAGCTCAGATACAGTAAGCCAAAGCAAGAGGAAAAGGACATCAATCAGGGGTTTTGTGTCTGTTGCAAAACTAGTAAATAAAAAAAACTCAATGCAGACTCACTAACAAGAATAAACTAACATCGGTAAACCCTTGCAGTTATGGAAGGAAACAGGATCAAACACTTATAGAATTTATGGAGAAATAAGAAAATATAGCATACTTTAAACCAATGTTATTTAAAACCCTGTCCTTAAAACAAGCTATACAGCATGTTTTAAATGTTTCCCAGCTTCTTCACACCAGATTTCAACTGCTGGCTTTCGTAATCAGATGTTTTAGCAGATAAACATCTATAACCTGTAGAGCACTGTGCCTGGAGGAGCAGAGTTCCAAAACGCTGCTTTAAACAATGACAGCTGAGAGGTGCTCAGTGCAGAGATTTTTCCAACAATCAGCAAAAAGCTAAATGGGAGTTAGGACTGTTGATCAGTCATGTTTCTAGGACACCATTTAAACCAAGAGACCAAATTTCACTAGGAATCAGACTATTGATTGAGACTTTAAATAAAAGAGGAAGCACATAATGTCAGATCTATTTAAGACATTTTTTTTAAAATACTGAGGAATTTTGGGTGATAATTGGTAATAAATAGACAATTTTAATTAATGAGAACAAGACGTCTGATCTAGATTCTTTACTTTTTATTAACGCATACATGTGTTTCACATGGATAGTTGTTTTGGTAACATAAAATTTTCTGTTTTCATTAAGTGTGAAATAATGAGAATATAATCAGATTGGACCCAGAGCCCCATATGGTGGGCCTCCATTAAAGGCAAGAGCAGCAAACATGCTTCATTGCCAATAGAACCAAAAGCAGATGCAGCATCCTAAATCATTTTCCAGACTGGAGTGCAGATGTGAGGCCAAATGAGATCCTATAAAATATCACACAGCTGGAACATCTTGTCAGTGAACAGAAATCCAGAATGGAGGGACGCATGCATGTTTGACTTTATTTCATTTTTAAAAATTGGTGTTTGTCTATCAAATATGCAACAGCACTTACGGCCTGCCGTTTTCAACTTGAACACCAATGGACTGAAACTTTAATGGTGCAGTCAGGGGTAATGGCTCTTCCCTTGGAACTGGAAGAAGGCAATCCACCTAATAGAACAGCAACGTTAAAAGGTTTAGGGGGTTGCAACTGTTTAACTTGCAAGATTGTGAGTAAAAAAAAAAAAAAAAGGCTTACCTGGATTCCAATAGAGGAAAGTTTCCTCTTGGTGGCTGTTGGGGGCTGCTCTAGGGTGGCACCAGTATTCACCGCATCATTTTGGCATTGAGCAGATGTTGAGGTGGTCGCAACAGTGGTGGAGGAGAAGTCACGTGGGGCTGGGACAGGGGGTCCAGAGCCTGCAGCTGGTGCAAGGCTTATGATGGAGACGGGGGCTTTAGAAGGCTGGGTCCTCTTCAACAGGCTGCCTGTACGTATGCTACAGAGACTGTCAGACGAGTTGCTGTGCCCCGACTGGCTGTTGACCTCACTACTCCGGTCTTGTTGGTCTAGGTATGTGTCTTGGGCTGACTCGGTGCTGCTTTGCAAAGTCACTGAGATGAGAGGCTTGGATGCAGATCGGGGTGGGACTGGAGGAGGAGCCTTCCTATTGCTGACTGTTTACAGCAGAGGACAAGAACAGGAAGAACACAGTCAACTCCTTTTCGTATTTAAAACAAAAGGGTGAGCAAAAATAATTACACTTGGGTTATATGGAGCATATGAAGAGCCAAAAACTCAAACCATATCTTATCTAAGAAACACCTGTACTTTGCCCTTATTGCTGCATCTATTAAGCTGTATCGGTTGCAACCTCTGTGCCTCTGAGGAGCTTGTGCCAGTAGTTGTGTTCCACTGACGTCAGCCTTTCTCTTGGCAACTTCTCTTCCAAGCCACACCTTTATGTGTTTTAATCTCTAGGGAGTCTCTTCTATCTGTGTTAACAGCCCTCGTTTATGACCATAGACAAATACAGGCTTCTATGGTCTATGTGAATTCACCCAAGAAATGCGGTCATCCCATTGGCTTGTGCATCTACTAGAGCATGAAATGTTTTGTTAAAAAGTATAAATAAAGAATAAATTAAATGAAAAAAAAAACCCGGTGAGCAAAATTCTGCTTATCGCTGCCTCAGATAAGAACTGAATAATCAGCAAAACAAAACATTTTCCCCCCCTTTACTTTAACTGCAAGGTGTCATCCTGTTCAAATGTATGCAAGTTTGAGTGAAAGTTGTATCTGGTCAGCCACAGGGTTGTGTCTAACAAAGGAAAAAATATTGCCAACTAATGAGAATATTTCATTTCCAGTAATTTTGGCAAAAACGATACAATATAGTCCTTACTGAAAAAAGAAATAGAATTTAAACTGTTTCTTTTCTGGGTGAAAAAGAAGTAGACAATAAAACATTCAAAAAGTTCATTGCGTGTACGAAAGTATATTCAAATGACTAATTATCATAGCTTATCTCTTCTGCTTATAGCTCTATTTGCCTGTCATTATGCTGCTGATACACCTCAATCATCCCTCTGATGGATGAAACAGGGGTAGTGACATAACTAATAGCTATTGCACCAGGTTAGGGATATTTCCTGCAATAATCATACATTTCGTTCTGCAGGCTTTGCAACTGACAAACATCACACAGCCTCTTCCTTGCCGTGGATTGTGTTTAAGTGAGATTAAAACAGATAGCATTAGTTTGTGTCGGCTGGGAGGTTTATAATGTACTGTTGCAGATATACACGCTCCACTGGCCTTTGATTTTTTTTCCTGTAATTAGAGTTACTTTTATAAGCATAAGCACAAATAGCATCGTTCAGCTTTTCCATTTCTTCTGTCCAAAAGTGTTTTTAAAAAATACTTTTTTTGTCTACCATCATCAGCCAAAGTACTTTCCATGTTAGAGGTACTTTGAAACGTCCAGTAGCAGCTAAATGTTTTTATACTGAGTAATACATATTTAGGTGAACGGAAACAGGAATAGAAAGGGTGGGTGTGTTGTTACAGTATTACTGGACAACAAAGGGCAGAAACTTGGGGACAAATGGGTTGATCTATGGTGAATTTAAGGCAGATGAGTTACTGTAGTTAATTTTCATATCAAACGTATCGTTATGATATTGATGCACTTGCATTTGTTAAACTCTACTCTATGGATACATTTTCAGATGCGTGAGCTCGGATGCTATACACTCAGACACTATAGGACTGCCCATGAATATCTTGAGGCAAAGCCGTATTAAACCCTAGTTACAATATGAATAAGTGTCCACATCAATGCGTTTTGCACCAAGTCTTTCTTCTCTCACTGTTTACATTTGATCACTGCTGCACTTTATGACATGGAAATGTTCATTTCCCTGCTAAGCTGCTGCTCATTCACTGTCTGAAAGCTGTGTAAAACAAAACTTAGTTTTGTACAGCTCCCTCTTTCTTGAATCAAAAAGAAAAGTTTCTTCATTTCCTTGTTTTTATATTTTCAAAGTTAATGAACACCATGCTAATCTGCTAGTATGATCTAAATCACGAAGACACAGTCAGGTGTTTTATCTGTTAAACGACTTCAATTATCCAATAAAAAAAACATTGTTACAAAATGTAGTTCCTTTATAATGCAGTCTGACATCTAAATACAGGTATTAGAGTAAAGAATTCTAATTTTTTTTTTTTTTACCACAAATAAACAAGGGCCAACAGCAAATTCCCACTGAGGAAAGACAAGTTGCATTCAGGGGAAGAAAAACAATCCTAACAGGATGGATGGGTGGATGCTACAGACTTCAATACTGTTTGGTAACATCTAAGTAGTTGAGGGACAACTTATTAAACATTATGAAGACATTAAGGAAACAAACTGTGGCAAAAATTATCTTTCAGAATGGAGGACCTAAAGACAAACATAGCAGATAAAACACGTCTTTTAAAATATCCCAGCAAGTAATCTAAAGCTTAATACTTTTGCTAAATAGCAGAGATTCTGTGGTAATTTTCTCCGGCAACAGCTTCCATCTGAATAGCAAACCAACACCCTGTAATTCTGAGCGCACTGCAATTCCATCAGCAGCAAGTGACGTAAAGAACCAGTAAGGCCCTCATTAAATCCCACTAACATACACAAACACCACTTTGGAATCCAGGTCATGCAATTCAAGTACTTCAAGTTTCTCTGGTCTGCAGACACAGCCTAGCCTCACAAAACCCCGACATCGCAAGGACAGATGATAACATTTATTCCAAATGAATGGGGCACTTCATGCAGAAGTCAGAGCGCAGATGGATAACATTCCCCATGATAAAGAATGTGAGAGAGTAACTTTCAATGGCTCTGTAAGATTTGGCGTGGATAAGCACATCTCAGCATGAATCATCAGGATCAACCCCTGAGTAACTTATTGGACATGTAACATGATTCCCCTCACTTAAGACATAAGGAGACACCCGTAGGCCTACATCACCAGCTACTTTTCTGATCAATTTGCTGTATTCTATCAAAAATGAATCTTTAATTCTATTGGTGCTTTCTACAATTTTAAACTTCATATTGACAGCCTCCACTGTCTTTTCCTTCATACATATAAAAATACTATGATCATTGGCCTGCTTCATATTTCAGCTCCACAGTCTCCATAGCCTCAAAATACTTTCAGTCCATAAGCAGGTATGTCTACAGAATATCCGATGACCACTAATGGATCCCCATCATTAACCTAACACTAAGTGGACATGACTTATTACTAATGGAGTAATGTGCTTCTGTCATTGCATTAATGGATTTTCCTTTTAAACTCATAATAAATTACTTTATCATTATCAACTTTTTAACGCGATTAATCAAGCAAATTAAAGGCAAAGGATCTGAATCTGAACTTCCATTGAAGAATCAAATGGATTATTGTTGAAATGACTTTGTAAAAATTTGAATAGGACTAGAACAAAAAAAAAAAAAGAAAAAAAAATATATATATATATATATATATATATATATATATATATATATATATATATAAGATTAAAACAAGGACACCTGCAGACCAAAGCTACATTAAGGACAAAAGAGGCATCACACACAAAAAAAAATACTGTCTTTTCTAAGTAGTTAACTGCTAAAGCTTGCTTTAGAAACAAACATGTTCAAAGGCTTCAGCTCCAAAAGGATCTCAAACCACCTGAACAGATACACAAAGTCTGATAAAAACCAAATCCTATCAAGGAACAAAAGGCAGACTGAAATTTGCTTTGCTATACCTATTCATGTGACTAGTTGGGATTAAATTATTGAATACAAGCAAAAAGGTATTTGATCAGACATCTAACACTATAACAGGTTTCCTAGTTTGCCTTAAACACACTCTCAAAGCGATGGCTAGCTTTTCAATCTTGTCAAGTGAAAGAACAGCAATTTCTCTATGACGAAATATAACGGAGTAATTTAGATTAAACTATGAGAAAGATTATAAATGCTGTAGAAGTGTTACAAACAGGTCCCACTTGTCCTTTCAATGTTTGTACTTTTGCTTAAGATATTTTGCATCACAAATCATAAAAAAGGCCAGCTTCCTGCACTGAGGTAAACCAAGGTGTTAAACTACCACAATCTTTTTCCCATGGACTGAACTTAAAAAATAAGCAACGGATTACACAAAATTATTTGATTGTTGCAGTCTGATCTAGGGCTGAAACAATTAATGGGATTAATAGTATTAATCGATTATTGAAATAATCATCAACTAATGTAGTAATCAATTAATTGGAGTATAGAGACTCTCAATCATGCCTTTAGCTGACAGAGCAACCCAATTAGAGCATCAATTATATAAAAATTGTAAA